AGGGACAGCCCTTTCTCCCATTGCCAGGAGTCCTACAAATGGACCAAGCTACACAACTGTCACAAAAATGCAAAGGGCCTAGGTCAGTCCCATGCAAACTCCCTGGTTGTTGGTTCAGACTCTGTGAGTTCCCATGAAGCAGGCTAGCTATTTCTGTGGGGTTTCCTGTGATGTCCCTGTTCCCCCCCTGGCTCCTACAATCCCTCTTCTCTCTCCACAGTAGAATTCCCAGAGCTTGGCTCAATGTTTGGCCATGGTCTCTGAATCTGTCTCCATCTGTCACTGGATGAAGGCTCTCCGATGACAACCAGGGTAGTCACCAATCTGATCACAGGGGATGGCCAGTTCAGGCTATGCATCCACTACTGCCAGGAGTCTCAGCTGGAGCTCTCCTTGTAGACTTGTGGGAGTTTCCCTTGCATCAGGTTTCTATCTGATCCCCAAAAGCCGCCCTTTCCAGTCATCTCTGTCAGCACTCTCCCCCTCTATCCATCCCCTCAAGTTCCCTCAAGTTCTCATGTCCACCCACCATCAGTGCACCCAGGAGATCTCTTCTATTTCCCCTTCCCAGGGAGATCCATGCATCCTAACTTGGACCCTCCTTGTTACCTAGCCTCTCCGGTTCTGTGGATTGTAGCATGATTATCCCTTCCTTTACCGCTAATATCTACTTATGAGTGACTACATACCATGTTTGTCTTTCTGGGTATAGGTTACCTCACTCAGGATGATCTTTTCTCAATCCATCCATTTGCCTTCAAATGTCCTGATGTCATTGTTTTTAACAGCTGAGTTAATACTCCATTGTATAAATGTGCCACATTTTCTTTATTCATTCTTCAGTTAAGGGGCATCTATGTTTTTTCCAGGTTTTGGCTATTATGAATAACTCTACCATGAACATAATTGAACAGTGTTCTTATGGTATGATTGATGATCCTTTGGGTATATGCCCAAGAGTAGTATCATTGGGTCTTGAGGTAAATTGATACCCAATTTTTTGAGAAATCACCATATTGATTTCCAAAGTGGCTGTACATGTTTACACTCCTGACAGGAATGGAGGAGTGTTCCCCTTGCTCCACATCTTCTCTTGAGAGTTCTCTGTTTAGGTCTGTGCCTCATTTTTTAATTGGATTATTTGGTATTCTGATGTCTAGTTTCCTAAGTTCTTTATATATTTTAGAGATCAGCCTTCTGTCAGATGTAGAGTTGATGAAGATCTTTTCCAATTCTGTAGGCTGCCGGTTTGTCTTACTGATGGTGTCCTTTGCCTTACAGAACTTTTTAGTTTTATGAAGTCCCATTTATTAATTGTTGATCTTAGTGTCTGTGCTACTGGTGTTCTATTCAGGAAGTTGTCTCCTGTGCCAGTGCATTCAGTAGCCCAGTTTCTCACCCAAAGGTCTGCGTAAATACTTTTTATAGTGAGATTTTGTATCACAAACTGGGATTATAATATTTTTTGAGACAAGCTGTCTTGTCACCCAAACTGGCTTCAAACTAGCTATGTAGCTAAGAGTGATCTTGACCTCCTGATCATCCCTCCATTTCTCAGATGCTGGTATAACAGACATGACCTGCCATTCCTGGTAATTTTTCTCCCCTCAACCCGCTTGGCTATTTTAAAAACAGTGTCTTGCTACACAGCCTTGGTTGTCTTGGTACTCCCTAGATAGCTCAAGCTGACAAACTTGGAGTGGTCTGGGACTAGAATGATGGCTCAGTGATTAAGAGCACTGGCTGCTCTTCTAGAGGACCCATGTTTAATTCTCAGCACTCACATAGCAGCTCACAACTTTCAGTAACTCCAGTTCTGTATCAGATGCCCTGCTCTGGCCTCATCATGTACCATGCATACACATGGTGCACAGACATACATGCAGGCAAAGCATCCATACACATAAAAATTAAGGTTAAAAAGTGTTTTAAGAAAACTAAAAAGTATGTTTGTTCCTCAGTACCCCACATATACACAAACACCAAAAAAAGGCACGAATGTTGCCTTAAAAAAAAAAGCCATATAGTTCTTTTAATGCCTCCTCATCCTCTAGGATACAGGTTACAAGGAAAGTATACACAAAGCCTGGCTTGTTCGCTATTGTGATTATGGACTCTAGTGAGATTTTCAATTGGGGAAGTGCTGAATTTGGGTACTACTGCTGCACCAGAAATACAGTGCATGGAAACTTCCTGGGAAGCTGAATACTACTTTGCCCAGAAAAAAGAAGCTCTCAATTCAGCCAAACAACACAGGGTGTGGACACCTCTGCACTCAAGAGTTTAGTACCCTAGCCAAAGTACCTTGACAGCTCAAGAGTGAGGCAGAAAGGTTTCTAAGCCATCCATGTGTCTCTCGTCACAAGACAGAAGTGTCTTCCAAGGCACTTGTGTCTGACTTGTTAGAATCAGGACCTCCCCTAGAGATCATAAAAGAATCTGGAAACTACCAACATTTAAAGAAACTTAACTTCTCTATAATTTTTTTTATTATGATCGTATTTATTAATTTGTACTTTCTATGGTTTGAATGAGTATTCCTCTAAGGCTCATAAGTTAAAGGTTGGTCCCCAGTCAATGAGGTGACTGAGCCTTTAAGGGGCCAGGAGTATATATTGCTCAGTGGTATAAAGTAAGGTCATGATTAAGACCCTGGACTTGGTCCCTAGGATCCCAAAAATGGAGGAGGAAGAGGAGGAGGAGGAGGAGGAGGAGGAGGAGGAGGAAGAGGAAGAGGAGGAGGAGAGAAAAGAAGAGGAAGAAAGGGAAAAGAAGTGAGGAGAAAGAAAAAAGAAGAAATAATAATAATACCTAGAACCTCATATGAGGTCTTGTGGCCATTGGGTGTATGCCCTAAACTGGATCTTGGAACCCTAGTTCTTTCCTCTCTCTTTCATGGGCTTTGCTCTACCATGAGATTTCCAAATGATAAACAGCTTTGCCTAAAGGCAACAAGTCTAACTGATCATGTACTAGAACCTTTACAGTTCGGAGCCAGAATGAACCTTTTCTCTCAATAAGTTGATTATCTCCCAGGTAGTTGTCATAGTCATAGAAAACTGACTACACAGCAGTCACTCAGGCATATTGGTTTGGGTATTTTCCTTCTTAAGTTTATGCTCAGTTTCCCAACTTAATTCACAGTCCCCTAAGTACAAGGATTTTTTTTTTTCATAAACATCTTGCATCTTATGACTCGGTACTATCCATAGAATAGTCTCTAGAAATAAAGGTAACATTTGCTCTCAAGGAAAAACATTCACAGCTTCGATGTTTCTCAGATAATTTCCAAGAAGGTGTTCATACTTAAAGAGTGTAGCACATTCACACTTTTATCACCAAGAGTCGTTAAAGGTGTCCTTAATTTCCAGTAGCCTCTCTCTGGCAGTTTTCTTTGCTGAGAAATAGTTGATAAAGTATTTACAGTAAGCGATGCTGTTCAAACAGGGAATTTTTCACACAGAACGTGTGCTTTTCATGCAATGTGGTGCAACTCTGTCTATGTGGCTTTACACAGCAGCAGCGGCTGTGCCTAGCAAGTCACAGGTGCTCCCCAGTGAGACCTTCTGACAGTACCTGATAGGCTTTTTAAGATATTTATCTGATTCTATTTTATGTCAATGAGTGCTTTGCCTGCTTGTATGGATGAGGACCATGTTCACGCTTGGTGCCGGTGGAGGTCAGAAGAGGGCATCAAGTCCTCTGGAACTGGAGGTATGGATGGTTGTGAGCCACCACGGAGGTGCTGGGAACCAAACCTAGGTCCTCTACAAGAGCAGGAAGTATTTATAACTACGAAGCCATCTTTCCAGCTGCCATCCAGTAGGCTTTTGACAAGGGGACTTGAAGTGTCTTTCGATATGATATGTTTTATGTTAATAGAAGAGACAAAAATCTAATGTTTTTGTACATGCTAATAGCTGTATCCTTTAAGAATAAAAACTGGAGAAAAACAGTGTCCCCTTCCCAGAGCCCCACCCCCACAAATCCATAGAGACGACGCTATTACATCACTAGTCTGACCTTCTCCTTCGGGCATCTGGATTGTGTTCCTTTCAGACAAGACCCCAGTATTTGCTCTTTCCTCATAATTCAACACACCTGGAGCTACATATGTTTAATTTTTGTTCGTGGCTACTTTAAGACAATATGAATTCAAGACGTTATGTGGCTTCAGTAAGATAATGTTTATTAACCAAGGCTACATATTATTGTGGTTTCTAGGCCAACAGCATGAAATAAGATCTTTTAAACATATATATATATATATATATATATATATATATATATATATTCTGCACAGAAAACATACAAAGTTAAAATGAATCTGCTCATCAGTGTCCAGTCTTAGTAGTTGCAGGATGGCATCTCTTTCCCTCCCTGTAATCTAGCACATTCTTTACTATGCTACTTTGCTCTGGGGTGGTCTTTCTGTGCGCTTTGAATATGTGTTGCTGTCATTGGTTGATAAATAAAGCTGCTTTGGCCTATGGCAAGGCAAGATAGAGCCAGGTGGGAAGTCCAAGAAGAGATACAGGAGAAGAAGAGCGGAGTCTGTGGGAAGTCAGCCAGCTGCCAAAGGAGCAAGATGCCAGCAGACTGGTAATACCAGGACCTCATGGCAATACACAGATTTATAGAAATGGGTTAATTTACATTGTCAGAGCTAGTCAGTAATAAGTCTGAGCAGTAGGCCAAATGGTTTGTAATTAATATTAAGCCTCTGAGTGATTATTTTAAAATTGGCTGTGGGACCAGGCGGGATAGAGAAAAAAAAAAAACAAACCCAATTACTCTGTCCCTTCCCTAATTAGACTGGCAGAGAGTAAAATTTATTCTGTTCATTAGAAATAAAAATCTGTGATTTACCTCCCACACAAATCTATATGAAGGAATAAAAATAAAATGATAGTGTGATTTTTCAAAACTGGAAAATAAGCTGTCCCTAACTTAGGGAAGAACGCCGTTAAAGAATTTAAAATACATTCACATGTACTTACCATGGGTTTTGATAACGGTGGCTTAGTTTGTCAGTCTGCCAACGACTTAGTTCTCCAGCCTGTAAAAGGAGGAAAACCAATTCAGTGTCATTCCTTGGTAGACAGGGTCTCATGGGTCTGAAGTCTAAACATCTCTATTCCGCCTCAAAAGGAAGTCAGGTTGGAATATGGAGCAGGAATGCTAAATTCAGCTAAAAGAAAATCAGTGGATACCGCTCACCCGGGGTTGCTTGCCCTGGACCGGGGAGGAGGAACCGCCCGGCAGGCGCCATTATGGTGAGCCAATATGTAGTAGGGTGTTAGAAAGAGAGAGAGGCAGACCTGAAGAGGTGAAGGAGGTGAGGAATGGGCTAATGTGGGAGGTCTGCTTGTCACCCTGGACCATGGTGATGTCCAGGCCTGGGCTGCTGCCAAGGGCCATGTCTGGGTCTGTGGCCCTTCTGCAACCGGGGTCTGTGTTACCACCTGGGATGCTGGGCTTCTGGACCACCACCTGACCATGCTGGGGTCCGAGGGACGTGCTGCTGCAGGGCCATGCTGATCTGAGTGGCCTATGCTGCCACCCAGAGCCAGGGAGCCGTCTGGGCCTGAGCTGCAGCAGAGGGCCATATCTGGGTCCGTGGCTCTACCACAGACAGGGCATGAGTTAATGTCCGTGCCTCCTGTTACCACCAAAGATCGTTCAGATACTCGGTGTCTGAGGTGACACCTGAGGTACAGATCAGGCCTGCAACGCCCCTGGGGCCATAGTGATATCAGGGCCCAAGCTGCAGCCGGGGCTCACGTCTGGGTCCTTGGTCCAGCCTAGGGTCTGTATTGGTGTCCATGGCTCTGCTCCTGTTACCACTGAGGGCTGTGTGGCTGCCCAGGGTCTGGGCCAACATCTGGGGCCATGTTGGAGTCCAGGGACCACGTTGCTGCTGAGCCCGTTTGGATATGAGAGGCCTTAGCTGCCACCGAGGGCCATGGAGACAACTGGCACCAAACGGCTGCTGCTGGTCATGTCTAGGTCCGTGGTCCTGATGCAGTTGGGGCCTGTGTTGATGTCCGTTGTCCATGTTGCCACTGGAGTGCATGCAAACCAAGTGTCGAACAATGTGTTGGAGTACTAGGGCCGCCCTGCCGCGGCTGGGTCACTGGAGAACTGGCCCCACCCCCAACCATGGGCGTGAGAGAGCTGGCGCTGCCCCTCAGCTAAGGGGGGTGGTCCTAACACCCCAGACTGACCAACTCAGCCACCATCCAGACACACACCCAGGGTTTTAAGTTGGCACTCTCCAACATCTATCCCATCTATGACCTGCTGGATCTCCAAGTTTTCCTTGGTGCGTGGGGGTGGATGCTACAGGAGTGAAGGGTAGATATGGAGGGACTGGAAAATGAGTGGGATTTGGGTGCATGTGTAATTCCCAAAGAATAAGGGCGCATGCCTTTAATCCCAGCACTCGGGAGGCAGAGCCATGTGGATCTTTGTGAGTTCGAGGCCAGCCTGGGCTACTGAGTGAGTTCCAGGAAAGGCGCAAAGCTACACAGAGAAACCCTGTCTCGAAAAACAAAACAAACAAACAAACAAACAAAAATTATGTCTAAAATTAAAAAAAAAAAAGAAAATCAGTGGAGATGATCACTGTTGCTTCCTGACCTGAGAAGAAGCTGTTGCTAAGAGCTCTACTCCCTCTGTGTGAATGGAAAGGGCTGGGGCACTGGCCAGGGTCCCTGACTGTTCCCGTGTCTCTCTGACTCTGTAAGGAAGCTGCACTGTGGACTGTCAGCCATCATTTAAGTGGGCAGGTGAGGGCTCTTCAGAGTTAGCAAATGTGACAGTGGAGTAGGAAAGAGCTGGCATCAGATGCCTGTGGCAGATAGTTCTCAGATTGTTGAGAAACTATTTGGTAACTAAATATCAGTTTCACATTAAAAAGAGAAAAGCATGAAATCCCGCACCCTCCTGTGTACACTTGAATGATGTATTATTCCTGAATGAATGATCTCTATGTTCCAGCTCCTTTCCCCCATCTTACAAAGAAGGCAGGAAACAAGGGTGTCATGTTCATATTCAGAGGGGTTTAGAGCTACTATCACTTCTCAGTTTTCTGTACTACGGTTGAAAAACTACAACATAAAATATTGAAAAGAATTTCACTTCTGCTTCGGAATGCATTTTTAAAATTTATATTGACAGGAGGTGCCAGATTCATAACAGCTCAGAAAGCAGCAATAAACATGAAACTTCAGCAGCAATTGGCAACCCCAAATGGTCTCACATCCTTCCCTCTTCCTCAGGCGTTAGCTTGGAACGGCTTTGCTGCCTGCCTAATAGTTATTTGTGCTCTTTGTCCTTAACGTACCTGCTTGGTTGGGTGACCCAACATGGCAGTCTTGCCCCCACACAGAAGCAAGTGTACAAAGGAAGAGGTCAGAGAGGAAGGAGTCTGATGCAGAGTTACCCATTAGTCAACAGGCAATGTGGAAGTAGTGATCCGCAAATGATGGAGAAAGGTCATGGTATCTGTTGATTCCCAGCCTACAATTCCCTGAAAACCAAATCGACACACTAATTCAAAAGTAATTTTATTGTCTTCTGTGGATGATCTTCTTTGGTCTTTTGCCACTCAATGTTTAATAACAAAAGCATGGCATCATCTTAGTCAGGAAATAGAAGATATCTTCGCTTCTCTTAGTGCTGTAACATTGTGTTTTCTTAAATACGATTACCCTTTTGTATTTTAATTAATTTAATTAATTATTTTTTTCTTTTTCTTTGTGTCCCTTGCTGTCCTGGAACTCTCTATGTATAAAAGGCTGGCCTTGAACTCACAGAGATCTGCCTACCTCTGCCTCCCAAGTGCTGGGATTAAAGGTGTGCCCCACCACTGCCCAGTGTATTTTAATTTATTAACAAAACACACTGTGATTTATTTGATTGGCCATGCTCACCGAGGTGTTAAACCTAATGAATTCACAATCATAGAAAACATTATAGTGGTCCATTATTCATAATAAGGAAAATATTGATCTACAGATTAGGTCATTTGGGGATGTTCCTCGGGTAGTGCACTTTGCCTGATAGGCACAGGTCCTACATTTCATCCCAGAACTACAGATACATAAACAAGAATCTAACATGTTTATACAATCCACTAATAAATAATACCTTTGTGAAATTTTTATATATCCTCTGAAAATTTTCAATTAAATATAATTATCGGTCCAAATTAAACATGTACTCTGAAACCATGTTTAAATAAGTCTAGGTATTAGTAAAAGGGAAATGCCTGCTAGTAACAGCTAGTCATTGTGAGCTAAACATATTTTCTGAAGGAGTGAGTCTGCTAACTTTGAGTTAAATTAATTGCATGCATCTGGGCCTAGTTCTACTGAAAGCCCTTTTATCCTCAGCCCACCTCTAGTGTAGCCCTGCCATACTCAGGTGATCTTTGGGATTGTTTTTGAGAGGAATCCTTTCTTTGTTATGATATTCCACAATGCTTTTTTGAGGGTATCTGATTTAGCTTTCCTTATTGGAAAGGACCATGTAATCCATTTCTGCAACTATGGGCTTTTTTCTTTTTTAATCAGTAGACCGGGTACAATGTGATGTATTTCAAGAATGTGTACACACTAAGGTTTTCTTCTCCAACCTCCATCAGTGGTAACACTGGGCTCTCAGTACCAAACAGTGGAGTGGAAAAAAAATCCCCTCCGGCTACCTTTTGTTATGCTAATGTGTTTGTTCTCTACTTGCCTTAATTTGCAAAATATTACTGTTAACCCCTTAGGTGTCTTTCTTCCCACAGCCAGTGATAAGCACCCGCATTGTTGTGGCTGAGCCACTAAACTGCATAATGTTGCCTGTTTTAGACTGGATTTATTGAATCAAGAAAGGCACAAAGGTCTTTGCAAGAATGGGGCATCTGAAGTATTCATTTTAAATTCAGAGCAAGGGTTGAAACAGAACAATTCTTTCTGGAAAATGTCAGTGTTGAAGGCTTAGATTCTGTGATGCATTTTTCTGTCAAAATAAATAAATAAAGAGCAATGCAGAAACCCACATTTCATTTTATGTCCCGTTATAGATGAGCTGGAGTTCTGACATGAATGTTTTTGTCATTGTTGTTTGACTGCAATGTTTCAAATGATTTGAACCAATTAATCAACTTTAAGCAAGCAGTAAACACTGAACTTTGTGAGTTGGTTAACGATAGAGCCAGAATTGCTACTTCCTGTTGTGCGTTCAAGTGATGTGCAAATTCTACCATGCTTCTACGGTACTTAGAACACCAGAGTTTTAAAAGACAGGCAGATCGAAACATTAATGCCCCTAGATGCCATCTGTTGAACCCTGCTGCATGGAATGCTATGCCAGCACTGCACACACACACCTCACATAACCCAGAGGACAATGCTTTAACCCTGTGGTAGGCAGAGTTCCAGTGGTCCCCCAAATTCTCATTTCCTGGTAAACATACTTTCTTCCAGATATCCAATCAAATACTTACCCAGGGTGTCGCTGCTGAGGGATTTTGTAAATGTAATCAAGACCCTAAATCCTTTGAATTTAAGAAAAGGAGATTTGCCCAGTGTGATAGAATAAGCTTATAATCCCAGTTACCTGGGAAGTTGAGGCAGGAGAATTATAATTTCACTTCTGTCTAGGCTACAGAGTGAGTTCAAGGACAATCTAAACAACTTAGTGAGAGCCTGTCCCCAAACAAAAAGTTGGAAAGAGACTGGAATGTAGCAGTGTTATGGAGCACTTGCCTAGCATCATGTGTGAGGCTATAGGTTTAATTTCCAAGTACTATGGGAAGGGGATTTAGCCTCAGTGAGCCTAACCTAATCAACTGAGCTCTTAGAAGACCCTAAAGTTCTTGACAAAGGGGCTGCAACACTGAGGAGCATGTGACCTGAGGAAAATTTCCTTGGTAGCTTTGAGAGTGAAAGAGTCACGTGGTTAGGAGTTTGGGCCTTCTCCAGTTGACAGTGGCTCCTGGCTAACACTCATCCCTACAGCCACAAGGAAGTAGAGTTGGCCACAACCACATAGACTTGAAAGAGA